AAAAAAAAAAAAAAAGGTGCATGGATACACCTTATTTGTAAGGAGAATATTAGAAAATCCTTGTTTTTTTTTACTGTTTTGTAATTAGTATTGCTAATTGCATGTGCCATTGTAGTTGAATATGGTGTGGTAGTAATGTAGGCATTACAACGGGTCATATAGACCGCATTCTGTTCCAATTAATGTATTTGGTAATGTAGAGTACATTTTAATGTCCATTGTTGTTTCTATTGGTAAGCATAGGTGCATGTACACAAGTTAATACCAGGACAAACCCAGTAAGAGGTAGACTATTTTTTATCTTAGTGAGCTGCCCCATGAATTGGTATAACCCACATGCCCTGTAGGCTTTTCGGCCGTATGGGCATTAGGCACTTAGTGGGCTTTTCGGCTATAAGTTTTTTTCCCATCTCATGTGGTCTAAGGCTGGGTGAGGCATGCTGGCTAATATTGAAAGCTCTGACAAGTAGTATCTTGACCAAGTACCACCCCTTACACAAGAATAATTACAAGCAAAGGGATTAAGAAATCAGTGAGTTGATGAAAACATAGTAAATTATACATACAAGCTTAATTTGGGCTTTAATTGATGCAATTAACTGGGTGTAGTCCTCTATCTGCCTGCAACATACGACATGCCATAAGTTTGAAAATGCAACATAAAATTCAAGTTTCAACCTTACAAAGGAAAAGGAAATAAAGAAAAAGAAAATTAACTAATCATGTTTAGACATGGAAAAAGAAGGAAAGGATGAAGATAATTTTGTTTCACAATGGCCAGAATAATTACCAAAAGATAACATATAACAGAAAATCCAAAACCTTATCACAATTCCAGGGCTAAATACATTAAATTTAAACAAGGATCTATTAATTGTTTCCAAAATGATGTTTGACTAAACTTCTGTAGCTGTATCTTAACATCTAATCTCATGTAATGGAACAACAAACCAAATAGCTAATGTCCTAGCACTTGGAATTGATGGACTAACACTATAGTACCCAAAATGCTTAAGCACGGAATTTTTGTAATTTGTTAGCAAGCCTTCCAAACTATCTGTTCTTTCTATGTACATGAAACTTGTAATGTGTTACAATTAACAAGCCAACCTGAAGTTTACTAACCCACATTCATCAACCACCAGTTTCCAGCCTATCCACATCCAAAACATGCAAGGTATGACGGAGATAATCCCACATAAGTATAGAATATGATCATTTACTATTTCCAAGACAAAGGAAAAAAACTAAAGAAAACCTGCTTCAATTCAGTTTTGCAAATTACAATTTGACAGACAAACCAAACTAATGGAGAATATTGATATAGAATATGCCTAAGACAGAAAACATGAGGATCTTGGACCATAATTTTACTAAAGTCAATTTCAACATCATTTAAACAGCTCCACTTAAGTATGCTATATTGTTGCTTAACATTGAGGGGGGAAAAGAAAAGCTTGGAAAGCCATAATAAACAGGTGCATTTTCAAGTTTCAACTAGGTTAGGTAAATTATGTCAATTCAAAAACTTAAACCTGGCTATCTTTTCTTCCCTTTTCTCTATGTAGTTCAAAGCTTCAGACCAAGTAAACTCCACATGGAATCCAAATCCCACATCTACAAATATGTGTTGCGTATTTTCCCTGTAAAGTTTTAATATAAGAGATGTGAATTTCATTAGACTGAAGGCAAAGCAAAAAGATTCACAAATTATAATGTGCAGATGAAAAAAACTAGCACTGTGCAAGTAATGAGGGTTTGCACTAGGTTGAAATCTCCATGCATTGATTGTACCCTAGAGGAGGAGGGGGAGGCAGTAGCGAGTGTCTAGATGCAAGTTGGTCCATATAACACAAATCTCAATGTTTGATAATATGATGATGACTGATGCCTTTATATACAAAAGAAAAACATGTGCGATCTTGATTCATATGGCTTGGTGATAAGATACAAGTGTGCTTTACAAAAATCAAGAACATATGAAATTTAAATAAAGAATCAATGCTATTAGTCACCAAAGCTAAAATGCTGATGACTTACACTTCTGCCTGCAGGTATACTTCAGACCCAAGATTGACCAAAGTTCGTAGACTGGTTACACTATTCTTCTCTAGGTTTTCAATGTTTCTTCGCAAATCAGCACTGAATAATCAAGTCAAGTGAATTCAAACATAACAATAGTCCTTTACTGTGTGCATGTGCAACATTGAATTCGTGGACTGTTAGTAAATACTAAGTTTCACATGGATTGAATATGGGTAACAAAAAAAATCTAACACTATACAAAATTAGTTTTAGGTGTTAGTCTGCCATTAGTCACAAGTATGATTTACATGATTAGATACAAACTGGCCTCCAATTCAGGTTATAAGTATGATTTACATGATTTGAACTTTCAATGTTACTGCAGAATTTCTGAGAAATAAATGATACAAAAATTTGTAGTGTTGACATTACAGTCTTATGCTGGTACCGGTACACAAAAGTGAAAAAGGATACAAAATTTTCTGTTGTTCAAATACCTTGTCCCTGCAATAAAGAGATGAGAAAATGAGTAAATAGTGCGAACCATAGTTCCACAATTTGCAATATATAAATTTGAGAGCTCAGAAAACCTAAAAACATGCTGCAGAATGAAGCAAGTATCGTACCATATGTAGTAGAAAAACAACACTGAATACAACATAATGCAGAGGAGCAAAGATTATACCGCTGAGAAATAGCATGAAGAAGATCAGGTTTCAAGCGTTTGTCAACAAATTCTTCAAATTTTTGAACTTTTTCCTGGCGTGAGTTTTCCATATATGATGAGAGTCCTAGGAAAACAATGAATTATCAGTTATATTTGCAATCATGCGATTCGATACAATACAATGGAAAACGATGCGAATCATGCGGTGTATCGCTTTTGTTCTTGAATTTTGGTTCGAAGAGATAGATAGTTTATGGCAGACCTGTAGGCTCCAAGGGCCGTCGTGCTTGGCCGTTGCAGCGGAGCGGAGTGACGGTTCTCACGGAAAGGGACAGTCGGAGGAGGCAAGTGAGTGTATGCACAACCCTAATTCCAACGACGACGTATTGGGATTTTTTTTTTAAAAAAACTTTTAACATCTGTTTGTTTATTTTAATATCTTTATCATAAACATATTATAATATTCGAATTTTGTTATAAATTTATGTGTATAATAATTTTTGAAGAAAGAATAATAATTGTAATTTTAATTTAATTTTATTATCGAATAAAAATATTTGATCGATGTGATAATTGTTTATTTTAATATCTTTATTGTAAAATCTATTATATAACATGATAAATAAAATCTATTATAGATTTTTAATGGAAATTTTTTAATTGATATTAATATAATTAATAAATATAGCATACAAGAATATTTATTATAAATTTTAATATTATTCTATTATAGCAATTTTTAATGGAAATCATGTATATTATACATAGTTTTAAAAATCAGATCGATTATTAAATTGGTTAAAGTACTCTGTATTTAAGTCAGAGTTTGAATCCATGGTCACTAATCGAATTACAAAATTTAATTTTTATTAATTTTTTTGAAAAAAATATTTTTGTTGCATATATTTTATATTTATAAATTTTAATAAATTGATATTGTATCTCAAATTTTAATTTTTATCTTATTTAAAATTATTTTTATTTTTAATTTATATAAAAAAGTACATGAAAAAGTTGCATGTTGAATTGTATAAATTAATACAAATTAAAAATATAAATAATATACATATATATATATATATAACATACTTGTAATTTTGATGTCACAAAATAATGTGTATATGTATTATATTTTAAATATGTAATTTAAATATAAAAATAATTTAAGTTGCATATTTGTTAATTAGACTTGTTGGTACAATGGTGTGTTCTATAATAACTAAGGGGGGTGTATTGGATTAGGATTTTAAAGGATTTTTTTAGTTTAAAAAAATCTTGTAGATTTTAAATTATATTTTAAATATGTAATTTAAATATAAAAATAATTTAAGTTGCATATTTGTTAATTAGACTTGTTGGTACAATGGTGTGTTCTATAATAACTAAGGGGGGTGTATTGGATTAGGATTTTAAAGGATTTTTTTAGTTTAAAAAAATCTTGTAGATTTTAAAAGACTTTGCAAGATTTTCATAACTTTTAAGATTTTGTACTAATAAAAATATCCTTTTAAGGAAATTGGGGTGTTATAGACAACATGAACTTTAATTTTAATATAATTGATCCTTAAACTTTACTATTAAACACCGTGATTATAATTCATCTTAACTAATTCTCAAGATTTATTTCTTTTCAAATAATTTCTTATATTATATTGAGAAGAAAATATTAAAAAATATCAATTATTTATTTATTTTAAAATACATTTATTAATTAGTGTCTTTATAGATGTTATAGTTTTATTTTCATATATCACTCTATATACACTAGTACAAAAGAGGTATTTCACGTCGGTTATTTTGAGCCTTTTACGTTGAAAAAAATATCGACGTTAATGTGAGAGACGTAAATCTACGTCGACCCTGTAAAATCGACGTAAATTTACGTCGAACATTACCAAGGTTCGACGTAAAAAGTAGTAAATAAATAAATAAAAATAAAAATAAAAACATAATGAGTGCAAGCAGAACGGCCCGTTCTTCATTCAAAATGGCCCGTTCTGCAAGGAGAATGAGCCATTTTGAATGGAGAACGGGCCGTTCTGCTTCGTAGAACAACCCAAAAGAAAAGGCCAACGACCTATACAGATAGAACAACCAAAAAATCGAATAGAACAGATAGCCACAATAGCAATGCGAAACAAAAAGGTGTTAACGAAACCTTGATTCATATTTGATGAGCTGTAACAGTGTGCGAATGAGTAACAAAGAGTTCACCCCACTCTGCAAAAGACAAAAAAATGATTCAGTAACAAAGGAGAGGGAGAGGGTTTACAGAGAAAAAAATGAAAAGTGATGAAGAGTGAATGCGCGCGGTGTGCCTCACACTTTCTTATTCAATTTCGCAAACTTTTTTATGTCGAACCCTACCAGGTTCGACGTAAAAAAATTCGCAAAAATTACAAAAATGCCACCGCGTCTTTTTTACGTCGAATTTTAATGTGTCCAACGTTAAAGAGGTGACGTAATACACTAATTTTCCACTAGTGATATTACAATATTATAAATTTAGAACAAAAAAAATCAAATACATATATTTTTAATTATTTTTATCATTCTTTTTTTTTTCTTGCCTTCATATTTTTATTATATTTAAAGAATAATTATAAAAAAATAAATTATTGATATTTAAGATAAATAATTCAACTCTAAATTGATAATAAAAAAGTATTTGTGAGAAATGATAAAATTTAAAAACTATTTGTAACAACATCAACTATAATTTTATTCTAATTAGAATAAAATTATAGTTGATGTTTATTTACAAGAAAAAGAAAGTTTAAGAATTAATTAAAATAAGATTATAGTTTATGATTTATACTTACAAATGATATAAAATTTAAGGATTGATTAAAATTTAGTATACCAATATATTAAAAAAAAAAAAAGAGTAAAATTTAGGAGAAGTGAATGCTATTCTATAATAATAAGTCAATACAAAAATTAATTAAAATAATTATTACAACTATATTAAAATTCATTCATAAATAATTCAAACATAATCCTAAAAGTAAACACGCAAAATTAAATATTAAAAACAACCGAATGTAACATTGATTTGTTTAAACCCAAATCATAAATACTCATAGTACTATAGTATTTGGATTCAAACCATACCTACACAATTTTGTGAATATATACCTATCTCGTATCATACCTAAAATTGTGGGCTGCTTGCTAATATATGTTTGCGAGTTTTCTTAGAGTCTAATTACACTTTATCATCCTTAACCATACTTCATTTCTGTCATTGTTGGTTTCATTTTTCATTTATTATTAACTTTTGTTTTTGTTTTCCAAGTATAATTTAACTTTCATTTTTGTTTTCTGCCATTGATGATAAACTATCTGTTTGAGATTTGTGTTCAGGTTTCTGAATGTAAAAATAAATGAACATTTTCAATAAATGCTCTTTGCTTGGTTGTTGTTACAAATGATGTAAAAGTGTTCACCTTTTATTATTGGTGGGAACAATATTGATTTCACAGTTGATATAAAATGTCCAAAATAATTAAAGAAAAGTCTTACGCTAATCATATACTCTATCAGATACAATACTGTTCAAGTATATAAAATCACTATAAATGACAAAACCTTTTATTTGAATATTTAACATAAGTAGTAAAACCAAGAATCATTCATTGAAAATAAAGAATGCTAGCTATGTCTTGATTCACACCTCGATAACTGTAAATATATAATTAGAGGTCAAATATACAATTTTTTTATTAGATAAAAGTATTTGTTGTGTCAAAATTACATATTTCATATAATTTTTTTATATAATAATTTTTTTGCTGAACTTTGATGTAATGATTTAAAGTATCTAATAAGGTACATTCAGTGCTTATGTACAATGTATTTCTGAACACGTACGTTATAGGCAATTTATATATATTTTTAATTTGTAACTCATTTCTTTTATTTATTACTCTAACATTTCCCACACTTGTGTTTACTTTTTATTCTTGATAAGTGGATACAAAACCTATTAAAAGGATAGAAATAAAATATGGTTTAAAATAGTAATTTTATACTTTTAAAACACTAAAAGAAAATATCACGTAATAATATATATATAATATTTATTATTAAAAATTACTTTCATCTATATTCTGAATATAATATGTGTTGATATATTGTTAAAAAAATATAAGTATAAGATAGAGTAATACATAAAATATATTGTTAAATTTTACTTCAAATCAACACTTAAATTGTATATATATTGTTAAATTTTATTCAAAATCAATACTAAAATTGTATATAAATATATGTTAAATAGATTTATGTTTATATATATATATATATAAGGGTTATAATTACACTGGTGTAACTTTTACTAAGTATGTAAATTTTGTAAATTCTACCGTTAGATTAAAAGTTCATATCATTTTATACGTATATATCAAATTTTGTTAAAATTGAACAACAATTTGAAGATAATCAAAATGTTCATATTTTAGTATATTTTGAAATGAATATATTACGTCAATTTTATTTTATAAAAATAAAGTATCAAATCATCTTGGATTAATATAAAAATTGTATATATGATCTAAGAGATGTGAACTTTCGATCTAACAGTTAGATTTACAAAATTCACATTTAATATAAAGTTATTGAGCAGTGTAATACTTAGTAAAAGTTACACCGATGTAATTATAATCCATATATATATCATATCTATAATAATATTTTTTTATACATCATGTAATAAATAAAAATAAAAATCTTTTAAAATAATAAGTTAAAAGGGAAGAATGGAAGATTGCAAATTACTCTAAACTTTCAAATTCACCAAAGCAAATGGTGATCTCATAATTTGCTGCGCACTCTTTAAAAAATTCAAAAATAAAAATAAAGTTAGTTGCGATGGTTGATTTTCATTAACTTTTTTTGTTCACGCAATTGAATTGCGTATCAAAGCATATCACACATTTAACGTTTTCGATAAGTTGTCGGTAATTAAGAGAAAGAAGTTAAACACATTGGGTTAAAAAAATCTAATAACTGTAAAAAATATTTTTTTAAAAAAAGTTTGTTTCACCTACTTCTTAATTTGATGTTTGGAGACGGTGGCTAAAGATGGTAACTGAGGATCCGTAGTCTTTTATATATATA